GTGAAAAACAAACATGAGGTGAAGCTGATGACAATTTAATACTGTTTTGTATTTGCTCAGAAAACTACACAGCAGATGTTATTAGCTGAAAATTATTGAACAGATATACTCTCTAAAAAAACCCACAATTTATTTATTCATCAGTAGCTACATGTATGATCTTTGATGGAATTATCAACACACAGGATTAAAAATGGTTGCATTCTCAATCCTTAAATCTTCTAATTTGCTAGAAACATGTTTACATGGTCCTAAAACCATATCCATGTACATACATTTACTTCATGGAATAACAACAGACTCAGGTGTTGAAACCTGTTCCCCATGTTACATGAAAGTAATCCTTATTGGCATCCTAAATATAGCAACATGTGCAATGTCTGGGAAATTAGGAGGTAAAATCCTTATGATTTAAATTCAGATTCAGATTCAGATTCAGATTAATTTTATTGGTCCATTTGGAAATTCATTTGTTGGCGTTACATAGGCACATGAACAATATACAATAGAAATAATATACGCGAATAGATAATATACAGTAGCAAATGTACAATGACAAATTACAAATTCATATGGAAACATGTACAATGACAAATTCATATGGAAGCATTGTCCTACTTAAAGAAAGTGGTTAATAAGCTACTTTCATTTCCTGTATGATTTTTTCTTACATCTTAATGGACTGGAAAGTTTCTGCAGTATCAAAATGAATCCAGCACGTTATACAAATTTATGAAGAGTAGATATTTCTAAGACAAATAAAATGTCATGATTACTATCTGGAGATCAAGTATGTATTTGTTTGGTAATGCCACCTACATGTACCAGTAAACTCTTTTGAAATTTGAAACTACAGCTACACATGTATGTTCACATAGGATCATCAGACTTTTAAAGGCACATTGTCCTACTTGTAGCTACTTGCTCCCTCTATATAGAAAACTTCCCCAATCGGTGCCTATTGGTCCCCCATGATCTTCTTTTTCTTATGTTAAATGAGAGCTGAGTTAATGAGATAGCCACCTGTCACAGTGACCTCGCTGGCTCGCTGTGTGGTCTAATCCCTTCTGGCTGAAGTAGTAAAGCCTGCCTTTAAACTATAAGTTTGCAAAACCTTGGAGTTATAAACCATGATCTTTCAACAACATGAGCATTAAAACATTTGAATTCCAAGCTTTTCTGTTTTCCCACTTTGTTATTACCAATACTTCTTTTAGAATACATGTAGATGTACATGAATAGATCTATTTTGAATTTTGTATTTTTTGTAATTTTTTTACTAATTTTTATCAATATGATATTTCTGATGTCCATTTTGTTGTAAATATTTTGCATTATTAATCTTTAGACTACTGCACTCACTATGAACATGACTGACAAAGAAAGCGGACAAAATATACAGTTCCTCAGGTAGATAAAGTAACATTCCTTCACTGCTATTATGTAAACATGTGTAGAACAGGTGTCACATGCATATTCACCTATTTACAGAATAGCAGTGAAGGGATGTTCCTTTGTCTACCTGAGGAACTGTATATTTTGTCTGCTTTCTTTGTATGTCATGTTTATAGTGACTGTATATTTCATTTAAATAAACAAAAATTCAACAACAAAAAATATATATATACATGTATGTGTATGTAGCAGTCACGAAATACATGAACATGTAAACAGAAGCTACAATATCCTAGTATATCAGTACAATGTGTATGGCTTTGTTCCAACTGTTACTAGTTTTCAAGTACATGTAATTAAAGTGCTAGCCAAAAGAGAGAGGGGGAGTATAAAATAACAAATAACCAGACGGATTAAAAGGCAATATCTGCTTGTATATATATCCAATATTCAACTTCATGGAATCATGGACACTGAAATATACAGCCTTCAATTTTCTGGGGGGGGGGATATGATTCATAATCATTCTACAAATAATCATGAATATAGTTTGCCATAAAAAATGAGAACTGATTTTACCTGGTACTGTACTGTACATGTATATGAGACACAATAATAAAAGTTGGCAACAGCAAAACAGCATGCTTTACAACAGCTATAGCTCAATAAATGGTTTGGGAATATTTTTTTTTAATTAAAATATTAAATGATTCATTGCATTTTCAATAATAGTATTCTAGGGTTAAAATGACGATTGTTGAACTGTGCATTTTAAAAGCAATTTATAAGGCAAGATTGATTGCTTTGTTTTTCTCTGTATTTTTTGTTTATGTCAACACATATATTTTTGTACAGAAAGTATTTCACCATGGAGTACATATTGCTTATTTTGGATTGCTTTTGTGTACATACATGTATAATGTGCAATAAACAGCTTGTTGACAAAAAGTTTATCACCGTAATTTATATGACAATTCTAATATATAAATAAAACTGTATATAAAAATGCAAAAAATACTAATTTTAAATGTCTGAATATAATTTGCATGAAAGTAAAAGGCAACAGGATAATATGACCTACACTGTATAACTATTAGCACTTTTTCTAAAAATACAACTGGAAGCAACACAACAAAAAAGATGCATGTAATAAAAGCCATCGATTCTGTATTAGTTGTTACAAAATGATGAATACAAAGATTTAAAAGCGAACATCTACACAAAAGTATGATACACGCAGGCAGTATCAGGGTGCATATTTAGTACATGCTGTTCACATTTCACAACATTGATATTGACATCCAACCTGTTAATGCTCTTTTTGTCGTATCGAGGCATTGGATCTGAGTCATGGTCATTCAAATCAACACTAGCTCCTCCCCTCTAACCAATGAAATGTTCCATTAGATTGCAGGTGTGAGTCAAAGAGAGAGAGAGGGTTAGTATGCAGAGTGGGTGGAGTCATGGTCATTCAAATCAACACTAGCTCCTCCCCTCTAACCAATGAATTGTTCCATTAGATTGCAGGTGTGAGTCAAAGAGAGAGAGAGAGGGTTTAGTATGCAGAGTGGGTGGAGTCATGGTCATTCAAATCAACACTAGCTCCTCCCCTCTAACCAATGAAATGTTCCATTAGATTGCAGGTGTGAGTCAAAGAGAGAGAGAGAGAGAGGGTTAGTATGCAGAGTGGGTGGAGTCATGGTCATTCAAATCAACACTAGCTCCTCCCCTCTAACCAATGAAATGTTCCATTAGATTGCAGGTGTGAGTCAAAGAGAGAGAGAGGGTTAGTATGCAGAGTGGGTGGAGTCATGGTCATTCAAATCAACACTAGCTCCACCCCTCTAACCAATGAAATGTTCCATTAGATTGCAGGTGTGAGTCAAAGAGAGAGGGTTAGTATGCAGATTGGGTGGAGTCATGGTCATTCAAATCAACACTAGCTCCTCCCCTCTAACCAATGAAATGTTCCATTAGATTGCAGGTGTGAGTCAAAGAGAGAGGGTTAGTATGCAGATTGGGTGGAGTCATGGTCATTCAAATCAACACTAGCTCCTCCCCTCTAACCAATGAAATGTTCCATTAGATTGCAGGTGTGAGTCAAAGAGAGAGGAAGAAGGTTAGTATGCAGAGTGGGTGCATGGAAGTTAATGAAAACTATGTCACATAAATATAAATCCATTTTCTCTTGATCATATATGTATCATTACTTCTTAATTACTAAAATTAGGATAACAAAGCGATAGCCATTTTTTCATAGACAATATGATTTACATTCAATTTCTATGTACCATACATGTATAATGAGACATGATAATATACACAGAGATGCATCATGTACAAACAATTAAGGAAGGAAATGTTTTGTTTAATAAAAATAAAAGGGGATTTGTAGTTATACTTAGATGCATTGACAATTAAAATGAAACTTGATTAATTAGTTAATCTGAGTTTCATCAAACTATCTAAATACATCTATTTTCTATGTCAACAGCACAATAATGAATCATATCCTGGTATATTGTAGAATCCTGAAATAAAATGTCTCTTCAACTGGTAATAAATTAATTCTGTACAAACTCTTCACTGTTACAAACTATTTTAATTGTGCAATAAGAAAGCCCAACATGAGGGAAATTACATACATGTATAAGATGTGTCTCACCAACTTATAGAAGGTTATGATTTCCTTCAGTAATATTTTTAACAACTACAGAGTATGGCTAATTATTGTCGCAAAGTTAGTGAAAAACATGTATCCTCATGCTGGACAATAACAACCTTTTCTTTTCTTTTTTGAAACTTTTTTCTAAAAGATTGCTATTTAGGCATGACAAAATATGCCAAGATGTCTTCTCATATTAAATCATGTAAATCATCCGACATTGTGAAAGTATAATCAATCTGTGACACCCTAGCACTAATTTAAAACATAGAAAAATCACAACCAAACTTGAGATTTAGTTCACATGAATGGCTTGTAATATTAGTATCTTACCCCTTGTTCAAATGAAACCTTAAAAACCAGTGCAAGAGTCCAATATTATACTTTCTGGCCCATTTTCAAGACATCCCAGTTCGACATGCCAATACATGCAGCAGATGCTGTACTGTTACAGACATTAATGTAACACAGTAAATAACAGCACATTTCAGCATAACCAAAGAAATTAAACATTACATACTGTTTACATGTTAGTACACAGAGAAAGTGTGTTTTCTATAAAAAATTAAAAAAACATGCAACAACATGTGCAAGAACAAGCCCATACACTTCATGATGTTAAAAGTCAGTGGTGATATGATGAGTAAGCATGTATGTTCAATGAGTTAGTGAAATAACGATAGATAAAGTAGAATCTTATCATTCCTGCTTCATATTAATTATTTGTTTTGTTTTTTCTATTATGGCCTACCTTTATTCAATGTTGTCAATGTTTTTTCTAATTTCTTCAAATCAACCCCCCCCCCCTCTCTCTCTCTCTCTCTCTCTATCTTTTTCTATCTCTTTCTCTCACTCTAAAGAAGTTTAAAATATGTGAGAGTTAAGTATAAAAAAGAAATAGACTTTTTGGAGAAAAATAATAAAGAAGAAAGATAAGCACCTGTTTTCGTTGCTGAAGTTGTATCTTGGTTCAGGGTCATCATCTTTACCATTGACATCATAACTTGCATTCTTCCTCTGCACATAGCAAATATATACACAAAGCACACATATAGACAAAGAACATTCAAATACTAATGTCAAGTAAAGGAAAATAAAATAACATTACCAAGGACATGCAAGCCGACAGGTGAGATTTACTCTAAAAAGTTTCATGTCAACATTTAAAATATTTTTTCTTTTCCATTTACCGGTAACTATTTTGTGGTCTTGAGTGGTCATAATCAAGTGATTGTTTTTTTTTTTTAATCAAGACACCTAGAACATAGGTAGGAAACAGGAATATAAACTTGTTTCCATGCTCGTACTTGATTTTATTCACTGGTAAAAAAAACATGAAGATAAAAGTAGTTTCTTATGCCTCCAAATAAATCCAATTTTGACTACTGAGTATTTCAAAAGTCTGTTACTAATATGACATAAAACACTTTGTAAAATGTCTGCTATCCTCAAGAAATACACAAGAAAATTAAAGTTACAGCTTACAACATACAATATACTCATTGGCAACATCTAATATTAAAACAGGGAATAATTTTCCTCAAATTTTTTGATTAGCAATTTCAGCCGATGGATGAATATTTAAAATGAAATTCTGTACATTTCTATGGAAGAAAACTGCTACACAAAAGATATTTTGTATAGCAGTCATGCAAAAATGCATAGCAAATTGCGATGCGATACCAGGAAAATTATTCCCTGTAAAAGCACACTTGTGGCAAAGAAAAGCATGCATTTTATTGTACACAATTGTAGTACAGGTTGTACATGTATGTAATGTACTATTTATAAATCAGACTATTATATGCAGAGAGCCAGAAGAGTTTTAACACAAGAGTGTAAAGGCTCTCCTGCCTCTCAACATGTGATAGAAAAACAAACTCATTAAAATAGAAATCGCAAAAGTAACAGAAATATTGTACACTTAACTATACACAAACAATGTAACAAACACGAAAAAACATGCATTTGATGAAACCAATATAAATTGATAATTGCAGATACTCACATAGTTTTTCATAAGATCTGGATGATCTCTCTCGATTCCATCATCCAGTATAGAGACCACGACACCCTTTCCTGTATAGCCTGCCTCCCATGCAGGTAGTATATTCATGTCTATACCTGGCCCTCTAGCCTGTTAAAAAATGTGATTAAAAAAAAAATTGGGAAGATAGATAAAAGTCAGTTTAACTTTTAAATTCAGGTTTTGCAAGACACCACACTCATTTTTTACAAAGCATTGTTGGCCTGATGTATATTTGAAGGCAACTTATGCACATTGCCATTGCTTCAAGGAATATTACACTGAATTCATCCAAAACAAGTCGCAGAGGCTCAATTTACTTTAAACCAAGACTCATCTACATGTACCTACATGTACATGTATTATACCTGACTAATCAAAAAGAATCTGTGTACAAAAGTATTTCATTAACTTGTACATATTGTTTTATCATGTATTCAGATTGATTCTTAAGTAACAAGAACTAGTGAAAACAAATCACTTTTTGTTCACCTACATACATGTACATGGTGTAAACCTTTTCACCTTCTTAATTTGTTTACCCAGTCCACCCAAAATCTCAACGTTACAAAACTTGAAATACAAATTAAATCCCCCTAATACTTTTCACCTAGAGGAGGCACACTGACAGGATAAATATCACCTTTTTTTGTAAAATTAAATATACCTTAAACTTACCAGATACCAAATAGGCCATTTTGGATCATTAAGATGAGGATTAAAAGGCTTTGTTCCTAAATCTACTAAATCTCTCTTTTGTCTGCTTCTAGCTATCTGTTGCTCAAACCATAGTACCTAAAGAGAGAAAAAAAATGGATGACATGTCAGTATCATTCACATTTTGAATTTGCAACTTTACCTAAATATAAAATCACACATTACAAAATCAACTGAACATGTACTGAAAATACAAGAGCCCATTAAATTTCAGTAAATGGATTGAATAAACTTTTGATACATAATGATCTAGCTATCAAACCAACAGATCTCAATGAAAAAAAAAGAATTACTTAGACAACAACAACATGTGTATGTTTAACACATGCATGTGCATCCTTTAATACAAGATCAGATATAAAGAAAATGCCATTATCTAATATTGTATCTGGCAGATAATTGCTATATTCTTTGCCTACAAGCCCTACATCTTCACACCTGCTTTGGATACGGTGCCTTTATGGTGCCCTCATCTATTATACTACAACACCCCTAGCCCCTATCAACTCAACATGCCTGGTAAAGGGTTTTGAGAATCTTAGACTGGCCAAAGGATGTTAACTTCAGGCATTTTAAATTCTGGATTTTGTATTTAGTGGTACCGTAAACTGTAATATTACTGTACTGTAGGGGGGTAGTTGTGCTGTGATATCTCGGGAGAAATCCATTCAATCCATTACTAAAATTACTATTTTAGAGGTTTTAGTCTGCTGAATCTTACTTCTGGAGGTGTCTTCTGATGACTTAAAGGAATATTTTTGCATTTGGTAGTATTTTGGAACCAGTATTTTGGACTTGTTTTTAGGTCAACACACTTGACTGTTATGTGCATTCACTCAGTCCCATGTGTATCAACTTTTGTGTGCAGAGCATATGAGTCCAGCCAAGTGGTCACCATTCTAGCTAAGCATTGGAGATTGATAAGTACACTTTTTCATTGATGCCTGATTATATTGTCTTAGCTACACTTATTATAGCTTGATTCTCTACTTTGGAGCAGATTTTGCTACATTTTGGAGTACGTTTGGTTCTGAGTTCACTTGCAAATTTTTGAACCAAATTTATCAGATCCAATTCATACACTTACTGCCTGAGTGTGCATGATCTGTGTACTTGATTTGAATACTTTGATTGCTGTAAGTTGTGACTAAGCTACTAGTTTATCTGATCATAATGGCAAGTCGCAGAGGTAGTGGTGTAGAAAAGGGTACTTTTAACAAAAGACCTACCAGAGGAAGTGTTACTAGTGTAAATGAGGATTCTAAACGTCGACATGGATCACCGAGGCAAGTAAGGAGTACTAGAGATCCAATTTCTTCAAGTGACTTCGCAAGTAGTTGCGGCTATTGTCACAAATCTGTTCATGAGAATGATCCTGCCATTGAGTGTGAGTTGGGCCAGATCTGGTTCCATTGTTATTGCCAGCAAGTTTCAACTAAACTTTACGAATTACTGGGTGAGGAGCCTGACACTATTCACTGGTACTGTAATATTTGCAATGGCCATGCAAGGAGTATGCTCCAAACTATGACCCAACTTCAGAACCAACACGACAACCTCCGGCAGGAGTTTAAAGAGTTGAAGAGAGATGTCAATGGATATAGAGAGGAGTGTAGAGAAACCTAGAAGACAGTGAACAGAAAGTTGGCGGATATTAACGATGTGGGAAAAGGAGTTGCATCTGGGTTTGAACAAGACACAGTTGACAAAGTTGAAAAACTTATATCTGACAAGTTTGTAGAGATGGATGAGAAGGAAAGAAGGAAGCCTAACTTGATATTTTTCGGCATTCCAGAGCCAAAAAGTAGTAACCCTGAAGACAGGAAGGAAGATGACTTCCAAAAAGTCAAATCACTAGTCCATAACTCTCTTGGATCATCGCGACCTGCAGAGCTTAGGGCATTATATCGTTTGGGGAAAAATACTGATGCCTGTCGGCCGCTTAAGGTTGTCTTAGAGTCAGGGTCATCAAGAAATGAAGTCCTTCGGAAGTTCAAATCGAAGGTGGGGGAAGGTGATAGACTGATAGTTGTGACTAAGGACTGTACAAGATCGGAATGTGATGCCTACAAGAAGCTTAGGAGTGATCTGAAGGCCAGAAGCGAGAATGGGGAGCAGAACTTGGTTATTCGTAATGGGCGGATAGTGCAGGTAAAAAGTACTACAACAGGCAATGGTGATGCAAATCTTGAAACCAACAAAGTCAGAGCAGAGAAGGTAAACAAACATGCGAATCCTGGTGAGTCTTTGCAGCAGAGTTTTTGCCATGACGAAAGTTCCAGAGAGACGGATATTCAAGCTGTTTCTAGATGGGCCAAGAAATTCAATGTCTCGAAATGCAAGGTCATTCATTATGGGAGGCGTAACCCGAAATGAAACTACACCATAGCAAATGCTGGAGAAGTTAGCAACATACCTATATCCGACTGTGAGAAGGACCTTGGAGTAACTTTTGACTCTGCACTATCATTCTCAGATCATGTGGCAGATGTAGCAAGAAGAGCCAACATCAAGTTGGGTATCATAAAGAGATCCTTTTCAAGTTTGAATGAAAAAGGATGGCTTATGCTCTACAGTATTAAAACATGGAAGAATCCTAGATCGATGAACAGGCTTAGACCTACTAACAGTAACATCATCAGATTTAAAAAAAAGTATAGTACGACCATCTAAATGATCTGACCCAAATAATTTAACTTTATATTACACCCTATTTCCCTTCAACACTTTCTGGATACACCATCCAAACTCATCTCAATTGCAATTATGCAACTGTAAAACCAGAACTTTTGATTGCGAAACTTGTAGTAAATTTTGCAAGTCGTCAAAATTGGCAAATTCCATGCAGTGATCAATATTAAATGATTATTGAGTTTCTAGATATTACAGATACAGACTATGCTATATTATGTGACAAGATATGTTACTGACCTTTGGTTCCTCTGATAAATGTCCATGTCTGACTTGACTGTGAGATGTTGAGCGTTTCACAGTGTGATGCTCATCTAAGAGGTGGTAATGATCTTGAAGAATCTAGGAGAAATCGGAGAGAGAGGGCGTGAGTAAAGGAGGGGAGAAAGTAAATTTTAACATGAATTCTTAGTATGTACAAAATATGTTTGTGGATCTTGTCTACGATTTTCTGAAACCGACGGTGGGAAAAACAATTTAATTTGAGTTGAGCCTTGAGGCTCTATAAAAGTTTAAAACGTAGAGCCATGTCGAGTTCTTTAGCCTAAAACAAGAAATTCTCTTTTTATTTCATAGCGCATTAAAAATCATCTCTGAAGAGACAGAGTGAGAGTCCAGAAAACAAATAAAGAATACAAAAAAGCAAATATATTATCTTCCTATTTTTAGTAAATGCTCAAATTCCAGCATGCAACCGACTAAAGTGACTTGCGCTATTCTCTTGCCATATGATCCATACCTTCCCTCCACTGTCAATGATTCTATTTTAAAGATGACACTTCACTATCTTTACAAAATTCATGCCCATCGCCTGCACTCCATACCCTCCAACTAAGGATTTTATAACATATTTACAGCAGCCTACTACTTCGAATGCGATATACTCGCTGATCTCCGAAAAGCGGAGGGACAACAACAGAGAGAGATAACAAATGAGCTGACTGAACATCCTACAGCATGTACATGTACATTTAAATGATCTAGGCCTAATGATTGTAGGATTGTCATATATACATGTACATTGTAGGCCTAGGGCCCTACTACTTACTACTACTACTACTAGAGCGAGAGGATGTTGAGCACCTTGTTGCAACTTGCCCAGCCCTATCATCTGTGCGTCAAGACCTTATTAATCGTATTAAGGATAACCTCAACACAAAGCAGTTTGCTCAATATTTCGAGTCTGCGCCTGCGCTGTTCTTGGAGTCAGTGCTATTTCTCCCTGCTGGGCACATCAGCAGTAGTGCCAAAACACAGCTGCATACCCTTATCCTTTATTTTATACGCAACCTTCACACAACCCGTCAAAATCTACTTAACGACCTATAGAAAGCCATTTATGTAACTTCGGCAGACTCACAGTGCCGACGATCTCCGACCTGAGCGGAGGAAGGATACAAGAGAGACTAGGGATCACATACTTGCCATCCACTCCAATCAAGTGATGTGACAAATCAAATTGTCTTCTTTCAAATCATTGCCTGTTATTGTTAATTTGTTATGTTAATCATGTTATTCACATCACTCATCAGTTCATCATGCAACATCTAGACTAGAGCTTAATTCTTCGTTCTTGTGAAAAAGAGGAATAGTTCTAGCTATTACCCCAAAGTATATTACATAGCAGTGCACTTACTTCTCCTAAATATACAAAGTTATGAGCTTTTGCTACTATTGCTGCTTCTGCGGGTCCCCCTTCAATGTGAACTGCATAAGTGTTGGTGTAAACACCTCCATTTTCTGATGAAGACAGACGACAACGTTCACACAAAACAAGACAAAATAAGACTGAGAAGATTGTTCCAAACTCCATTATGGCGACACAAGTGATTAAAGGGAATGTATTTTATCTTAAAAATGACAGGCCAGAGTTTAAATCCAGTTCAAAATCAAAGTAATTTCCTCAAACCGCAGGAACTAAACAAGATTTGCATGCCGCTTGTGTAAGGGAGCTGAAGTGAAGCAGGGTACTCGAAAGATGAATCGACCGGGGCACAACCGGTGTACTCGCTGGCTCGTGTCCGCTTCACGACGAAAGAAGAGGTCGGGTACAACAACTGACCACATCAAATGTGTAGCTGCTTGTTCCTGATTTATAATTGTTCAATAATCTTGGTCATTGGTATTGATAGACACAAAATAATAATTGATGGCTTCTTGCTATCACAGTCAATAAATATTGTCAAATTATTTAGTGTAAATAACAAAAATTGACTCCTCTAAATGCGGCTCTAGCGAACGAAATCACGATAACTTCCGCACTGTAGCTGTATTACAGCTTGCGCGTACGATACGTACCGCACCGAGAACTTGTTGTTGCATTATGACGTCACTACTACTAGTGACCTCATAATTCCGGCTGCCCTCTCTCTTTACTTGGAAATGATTGGGAAAAATATGGAAAAATGATTATTTACGTTACATGCAATGATGGAATGACTATAGAAATAAAGAAAGAAAGTGTTCAAGAAGAAAAGTGAGAGGGGAAATAACTGAATTGCTTAAATTACTACCCCAATCCCAAAATAGACACCCCCTTTCATATCTCTCCCTCTCGTAGTCTCTCTCTCTCTCTCTCTCTCTCCCCCTCTCTTTGACAAAAACTTTTACTTTTGATGGAACAGGGCGGCACTATACTGTGTAGGGCATATAGGTCTAGTAGGTTAGATCATTTGTGACAATAATTATTTAGGGACTTAATATAATTTCTTTGAAAGAGACTGACAGTCTATACTTAATAAGACTATGGTTATTCCACAGTTTCATAACTAAAGTGGCTACCCTGGGTAAATAAAACGTTATTATATATATATATATATATAAGCTAGTGAAATCCTTGCTTCTGATTGGTTATCAGCAGATTTGTCACTGATTTTTGTCATTTGCATACTCTAGTCCTAAATTATGGAATGGCCTTCCTGAAGACATCAAAAAATGTTTATCTTCTGATTCTTTCAAAACTCATCTCAAAACATTCCTTTTCAAGTCTTGATCGTTTTTCCTGTTTACACGCGCCTTGAGCACTCTATTATTATTATTATTATTTGTCATTGAAAAAAGGCTTTGTGAAACGCCCCCTGGAAGGAAGAGCCGTCTACTCTTTCATTATGCTCTCGAGCTTTCGTGGGTTATCCTGTTCAAGCTGACTTATTTTTGATCTGTTATTATTGTACATTATTGTATGTTGGAAGCTTGTCGAATAAATATCAATCTATCATGTTCGGTTCATCTTGATAACAATTTATTGTTCAATCATTAAGACCACGTGACCCATTAAATGTTTTATGTTTCATGTTGCATTTGACTGAGAAAAGGTGGCACGGATCGGGATCGAAATTCTTTAAGTTAATTTTGGTTATCTTTGTCCAACATCTATAAACAATACCTTTGATTTCTTGTCATGGATTAAGATGATGAAGATTGTGCAGTAGAAATACAAAATAACAGATATATTTCATCAAAAGCAGCATATTAGATGTAATTTTAAAAGCGTTAATATATATATTTATATTGTGTGTTTGTGAATGTATGGGTGTGCGTGTGTGCGTGCGTGTGTGTGTGTATGTTTTATTTTTATTTTAATCTATTTTATTCAATTGTATGTTTTTTTTTGTATTATACATTTGGAGGAATGAAACAAAATTACTATAAACAAAAAGTGTGTGCCTTTGATTCTGCAAAAAGCATAAACAATGCATCTCATTCGATATAACCCTATACATTCAATTCGGAAATCGATGTTTGCACTCCTTTTCATCCAAGCGTGAACATATACCACACAAAAATAATACCAAACGATTCGGGATATAACAATCTTTCAAAACATGTATGATAACCTTTCGTTCATTGCTGACTTTTAAAACAATCTTACCTTGGACAATTACCCTCCCTCCCTCCCCTCCCCCAACAATACCCCCCCCCCCAAAAAAAAAAAAAAAAAAAAAAAAAAAAAAAAAAATTATCGGGGCGGACTATATCCCTTCAATGAACGGGGGGGGGTAATTTCCGGGGGGGGGGGGTAATTGTCCTCGACTGTGGTTGCCCTCGTGTCCTTGGGGGTGGAGGTAATTGTCCACGGGAATAATTTTCAGGGTGGGGGCAGGGGCGTCGCTAGACCTTTTTCAGTGGGGGGTGTAGAGGCCACCGATTACCGACAAAACTAGCTACCAATTACAGACAAAATTTAATGTCCCAATGTCTACAAATTTAACCCTATAAACCCGGGGCCGAAGGCTAAATTGTTTTTTACTATGAACTATCTATAGTACTAATTGCGTATGCGCAAATGGTCATTTTCTCGACGACATAAACATACGAATTATTTCGTCAACTTGGTCAATATCATATCTATAAATGCAGGCGCGTAGCTAGGATCAATATTTTAGGGAGGCGCGGTATAGTGAGAAGCAAATCACTTCAAGAGCGCGCGAAGCGTGCTCCCTAGGGGGTGGGTTAATGGCCTCCCGCGCGAAGCTTAGACGTTTCATTAAAATATTAGGGAAAAGAAGAGGATTCGTTGTACCGTTCTTAATTGACTCTTAACCCTAATTGTCTTAATTCAGTTTCCCCCTTGTATACCGTTCTTAACTCTTAATCCTTGTTTGAATTTAGTTTACCCGAAAACCTTAAACCTCTGATTTCTTTAGCTGATATTATTGGAAAGTGAAACTAGTTGTAGTCTCTCTCAAAGTTGTCACAGCGCCCGCCGCCCCCCCCCCCCCCACTCAGTGTTATTTAGGGTACGCGTGTTCCCTCCTTTTGAAAACACCCCCTAAGTCCGGTGTGTAAAGTCAATTTTGTGTTTGTACGAACCAGACTTTGGTGCGTGAAAAATACCCCATTACCGGACATTTTGATTAATTCCATGACATTTGCTCCGGCGACAATTGCTCCGCTGTAAATTTCATACACTAATCGAATGGCTAACTTCAACCCTGGATTCAACACTATACCCTACCCTAAACCTAACCCTAAACCTAACATAAAACTCTATTGAAACCCTAACCCTAACCCTACATCTTAGACGAAATAAAGCCCGGAGCAATTGTCGCAGGAGCAAATGTCGTGTCACCACATTTGATTTTGGTAACACGCATGCGGTCATTCCGACCCCAGAGTGGGGGGGGGGGGGGGGGGGGTCACAGCGGATTAAAAGTCACAGTTCGTAGGGGGAAAAAACTTGTCGGCCAACAGACATTATACATCTCACCGACTTCAAACTTCTGCATTTATATAGTACACGAGGATCGAGCAAAAATACCGACACAGCAACATATTTATGCGTGTCTTTCTTGCTCATTCGACGAGACGACTCCACCGTCAACGACCCTATGATATCCCACCCCTCCACTCAGGCTCTTATATAGGCTCTTATCTCCCCTTGTTTCCTTTTCTCTATGTTTTCCTTCCTTTTCTCCTTTTCTTTTTTTTTTCCTTTCTTTTCCTTTCTTTCCTCTCCTTCCCCTTTTTCTCTTCTCTTTCCTTTCTTTTCCCTTTTTTCCTTTCTTTTCCTTTCTTTTTTTTCTTTCCTTTCTTTCCTCTCTTTTCCTTATCTTTTTTTCTTTTCTTTCCCTTTCCCTCTCTTTTTTCCCTCCCCCTTTTCTCCTTTTTCCCGACGGCATTGGAATATAAAATTAATGTCAGTGTTTTATTAACAATATCCATGCTCACTACCCCCCCCCCCCCCCCCCACCCCCTTTCCCAGTTTCTTCGGAATAAAGATCTTAATTTATGCAGCATAAATGTTGCTTGTAAGGAGACTAGCGCTAGCTATAGAAGTAAAAATGTCGTATAAAGCGACTGCCGTGAAAAGACTTCCACGTGCCAAGGGGCAACCAAGCAAAGAAGCGCTATTCTGGAAAAATTTTGAAGTGAGTATATATTTGAAGACTTTTTATTTTTTATTTTTTATCTGAATGCGACTTTAAGGGGAAAAATCTAGAAAGGACAACATTCTCCTCGATGTCCACAAATGCAAAGATCTAATATCAAGTGTTAGTAGACTATGTATGGATGGTGCAAGTAACAGTGTACAAAGAAATAGCAATGCCGATACCGTTAGAGTGCGCGAATGTTGTCGGCATTGTAACCTGCTCATTCATTTTATTTGGTTATAATATACCTTTTTTATGATTGAACTAAAATTTTAGTCATAGATGTTATCCATTTATTTATTCTTTATTTATTTATTATTATATTTATATTTTAGGGTCTATAATGGTGATGATAGCTCAAACAAAGTTGAGTCAAAATACTTGATAGATAGAGAGAGAGAGAGAGAGTCGGGGGTCGGGGCCGGGGGAAGAGAAGAGAGTGGTGCTGTAACGTGTAAGTCAGACGCTATGTTCGTGTTCCGTTCGGTTCGGCAGAGTTCAGCAATTTTTCACCTGAACTTGGTTCGGTAATATAATAGCAAGCAGCGTTATAGCCACGGCGGTCGGCACTGGGCGGACAGTCAGTCCCGACCAGCACCAAGACTTCTGCTCACTCCCGATGAAAAACACTGCTAGCTGCTTCTGACCAGCACGAATTTCACATTAAAAAACTGCTCTAAACGTAATTATACGTGAAGAAAATTACTACTTACATTCATATTTTCCGTCTTGAATCGTGTTTTATTTGCAATTTTAAAAGAATCATGTTTTCAATTTGTCAATAAATAATATTTTAAAGTTTTTCTGAGACGGTTGTTGTCTAATGTTAGAGTCATGAAAGCTGCCATCTTAAATAGCGACTCAGGCTCGTCGATTACTGTTTTTTATAAGTTTTTATGTTCAATAGGAAAAACATAAAATCCCTATTTTTCCTCAATAAATAAATACCATACTATATTATTTATTTCATTATTTTCATTGTAAAATTTGTCCGATATTGTTACAATTAAATATTTTTTTTGTTGTTGAATGGGTTTGAGCTGAACTTGTTTTGATTATGCACATGTATTCTTGTTTATGGCTACCCTCCAGGCATAGATGATAGCAGGCCTGGCAATACTTTCCTAAATCCTAAAAGGACCAAGAAGAAATAGAATTGTGAAATTAAAAAAGAAAAACAGTGAAGAATTTAAAAGAAAGTGAGGGCGGCGCTTGTTCACAACTGTGACCATACTTTGGACCTGTAACCCCGGCATTACTATAACACACCAAAAATCATATGTATCTTCCACAATTGTTAAAATAACGGTCTTGATTTTAAAGTTGTTTTCTTTCTTGCCTGTTTCGTGTTAGTTTTCTTATCTTTTTGGTAGTATTTATTTCCTATAAAGGAAGACATAAAGTAAACACTTTCTCACAGGTTTCACAGCAAACCGCTGCACAATACAAGTACAAGTGCATACCGACGGTGGGTTTTGGGCAGGCGCATGCGTCTGCCTGAATTTAATGAGGATCTGAAATTACAGTCGCTAACTAATCCAGCAAACTTTTTCTAAATAAAATATGGATAGGAATGTATAGTATTGCTCCTCTGAGGATAACAAGCTTTTGCTTCTTCCTGCTAGAAATCGCTTAGTTGGAATATCTGAACATTCAAGCAAAACTTTAGAAAAACAAATATTGTTGCATATAGAATTCAATAACTTTTTTCTGTTTTCTATTTCAGTTTCCAGTTACAGTCAAGGAATATGGTGCAGTTACTGACATTGACTTTTCCCCTCTTGAACCATATAACTTTGCTGTCTCCAGCTCTACAAGGGTGAGTAAAATTAGAGGATGCTTGAGACAAGAAGTAGAGGGAGGGATTGTCATCATTGCGTGAAAGCCAGTGACCCCTCGTAAGACGGAAAATGTTGACTTTAAGAAATTATGATGATGATGAAACAATCTTTATTGAGGAATGCAAACCTATTTTTGTACAGATTTGTCATTGACAAACAAAACAAATATTTCTTACAGAAGATTTTTTGGAGTTTAATAATTGTTTTCATATGTTATTTTCATATGACAGGTACAAATCTACAATCCCTTAACAAACCAGATAGAGAGATCTTTATCCCGGTTTAAGGGTGTTGCTTATGGGGCTAGCTACCGTCAAGATGGTAAACTCATGGTGGCAGGAGGTGATGAAGCCTTCGTTCGTCTCTTTGACCTCTCGGGTCGCGCTGTCCTCAGAATCTTCAAAGGACATCAAGGGTAAGACCTCTATCTAATGCTCTAAATCTCTATTGAAAGGCTTGCACCATGCAATCTATCTAATGCTCTTTATCTCTATTGAAAGGCTTGCACATACCTGCCGACCCTCCCGAATAATCCAGAATATCCCATTTTTCTGGATTTTTATGACCCCAAAATGCGGGATATCCCGGATTTTCAAAATTTAGTTTTTTTTTTTTTTTTTTTTTTGTGTTGCTTATAAGCTTGTTTTATCATATGCCGCGTGATTGAGCAGTGAATTTGTATTCACTTTTTTGATTTACCGCGTATTGCCAGTTACACTGCCGCTGCATGTGCGAACGCCTGTTAAGGGTACAGATTTCTTATTTTCGAAGACATGCCGTGCTAAATATTCTTAATTCTCATTTTCAAATGTTGGCAGGTATGCTTGCACCATGCAATCTACCTAATGCTCTAGATCTCTATTGAAAGGCTTGCACCATGCAACTACAATGAGGTGTTTGGTATACATACAATTATTTGTGCAATTGGGTCGTGTGCATCGAACTTGATCTGAAAATTCTATGAAAACCAGCTAGAATAATAATATTCTATCACTACTCTTTCTTGATTCATTCAACTTATGCAGTTAAAAAAAGTGAAAATATTCACAAATTATTAATCTCATTACAGAATGAAGAAGTATTGAATCTATGTCAGGTGTATGTTTGAAATGGTTTATAGGGATCCGGTAACTTTGTCTCAGATTCTGAAACAAAATCCTGGATTTAGCTCATGCTGCAATGATAATTATAAACCTTTAGGTCAGTCAGGAACCCCATGAATTTTACAAGCTGATCGCCTGTCTGATTATCAATATAGTTATGATTGGTAATCAAAACCAAATTTTGGGTTTTCCTAACAGTTATCTTAACTCTACAGTCTATTGGGGAAAACGAATATGGTAAAATCGGTCACTCAAAGATTTTTACTTTTTTGAGGCACTTCTTGATCATTTTTAAGCACAATTTTTTCTTAGGGCTTCGATATTTCACCATATAATAGACACTGATAACTCTTAGGGCCGTGCATTTTAGATTTAACATTGCTAAACGATGCCTTTAATAACATTTGCACACCTTCATACCAAGTATTAACATTTTAAAGATAAACTCCAGTTCTGGTAAAAAAAAAAGAAAATTAATTCTCACAGAATCAAACGAAACTTACACTGAATGTTCAAGATTACAAATAAATGACATGTGCCAAACAATTTTGGAAAAAAATGTATACTGGCTGAGTAATGAGCATAGAAAGACAAGGAAATCAAGGTAGTATTAGCCCCGACACCATGTGTGTTATCCCCAGCCAAAAAAATACACGGGGGCGGAGGGCGGATTTGCCCCGGAAACACCATAAACAGCCCCCGAAATCCGATTTCGGGGGCGACATCTTAAAGTGAAATGATCTCAAATCGCCTCCGTAACGATTACGAGCGGCCACGCGCTCACCACTAGCTTCGTATTCATTGTGTGCATTTCTTGGTCCGCGCGCTGAATCTCTCTGTAAAATTGTATACACTAAAATTGGTCCTAAAAAAACTCTAACCATATTCCATACCTTACCTGGCTTACCATGTCGCACGCAAGTACGCCAAAACACGTACATTTTTGCAGTTGCGAGATCGAGACAGAGCGTAGGGGTCGAGTTTTTAGCGGTCAATTTTGTTTTGGTAGATCATATTAGCTGAACCTAGACCTAAACATTGCGAAACTGCTATCAATTTCCATCACGAATTCACGATTGCCGCAATTTTATAAAAATTCCATAAGTAGAGGTATGAAATTAAAGCCTATTATGTGATTATTCTCGCCATGTTTACGTAATTTTGATAATCATTTCTTCAAAGTAAAGAAAATCAGACAAAATCACCGTGACTGACACGCATACAATACAGTGCAGTAATGCTGCGCTGCAGTTAACTCCAGGAAGCTCCAACACCGACACCGCAGTTGTCCGGCGCCAGTGTTGGAGCTTTCTGGAGTTATGCTGCAGTGTGTGTGAGTTGAGCTGAGCTGAGCTAGCTGAGCTCGAGTCAAAGAGATTTGACACTTTGAAATTGTCATATGTTGGTTTTCATCATTATTGCCGCGATTTCAATATAGTTTCGTGAATAGATGTACGAAACCTGAGCTTAGAATTAGTAAAAGTATTACAAATGTCTACGTTTTTAAACGACTGTCTGATTTTCTTGTGAAAATTTTACTTTGAAAAAAGATTATCGAAATTCATGGCCAGCAATAATCACAATCTAGGGTCTATTATGTTACAGTTCTTGCATCAAATCAATGCATGAAAACTTAGTTATTGAACTAGAAAAAGGGGTTTCTTTTTTAATAGGCAATTATGAAGCAGGAAGCCCGAAACCTTAGCCTACTAAACAAATCTCAACAAACTGTAAGCCTATCCTTTTATGAATTAATGAAAAAGTAGCCCCAGAAAAAAGAGCCCCCGAAATGGAAAAAAGAGCCCCCCGATAGTTGAAAAAGTAGCCCCAGAAAATTTCCCCAAAATTTGAAATGGAGCCCCCGAAATGAAAAACTTAATTTTTTGCCTGGTTGTCCCATACATAGCTTTCTGTGTACAGTGCTTGTTACTTTACCAAAACTCGGCCAAATTTATTATGATTTTGATAATAATAATAATAATATTTAATTTTTATTTAATTTGATGACTCCAGAACCTTGCAGTGCACACCAATACTTACATGCTACATGATCAACAGTTTCTGATCCATTCCACACCTTTTCTTTCACAATGCAATCGCATTACCAGAACTCACCTTTATCTTTAACTGAACGATTCTCACTTTTCATATATTCCTCTTGATATGAAATGAATCGACTACTTCTACCTTGCATACAATTTGAAAGGCTTCTATTATTCTTTCAATTTGTCATTTCATACCAGGCCTGTCCATGTTGCCAAGTTTGCAGCTAACAATCAGGTGATGTCCTGCTCAGATGATAAGACTGTGCGTTGTTGGGACATACCCAGTGAGGATGAAGTCATCCGTTTCTCAGATCATAGTGATTACATCAGGTCAGGGGTCATTAGTCCTAGTAGTAAAGACATCTGGCTGACTGGTGAGTGGCATCATAGAGCTCCATTTTATTACCATTTTCATCTATTTTTTTATTGTAACATCCATACCATCTTTTATTGTGAATTTAGTGTGTTAATGAAATTTCATAACTGGTGACTGTATATTTCATATCAATTGCATCGTTACTGAATTGCCAAAGAACAACTAGTTTTTTGTTAATGTATGAAAGATGTACATCTTATTTCCCTTATACAGTCAAACCTGTCTTTTCAACCACCTCTATATAAAGGCCACCTGTCTATAGTGGGCACCTGTACCACCTCTCTTTGGAAGGGAACGTGTTGAAGAACCTCTTTATAGAGGCCAACCTGTCTGCAGTGACCAATTTTTGTGTTTCCAATGGTGGCCTTAACTCTTATCATGCCACAGGGCTAATCCAAGCCCCAAATCCCCCCGTGCCAGGTTGTTTTGGTGATAATCTGAGTATGCGATGGATTTATGAATAGCGAGTGCAAAACACACAACACAGTCCAATAAGCATGAACACTAACTGCTATTACGAATGCGCCCTTGCACTCACATGGCAGTGAATGAATGGTTAGCTTGCATGTACAAAGCACTATAACAGTAGCGTGCATGCAGCCTCATGGCATGCAGCCTCATGGCATGCTATGAGTTAATAGACAGGTTTGACTGTATTTGATTTCTATTGAAATTCCTTTGACACACTGTAAAACAGTGCAGAATGAATTTAGATTGAAGATGAGCATACCAGGGGTATGCATTTATAGTTGGGCAACAAAGAGACCTGCAGTGCCCAGCCCTATCCAAATGACTGGGTTGATAAAGATTAATGCCAATCCAAGGGCACAAGCATTCTAAATTGACTTTAACAAAGGACTCTCGCTTTGCTGTTTTACCTTGTTTGGTCGCATTGCGAGGTAAAGTGGTAGCTGAAAATGTTTACATTTTATTTTGACATTTTTATGATATGATACAGGATCGTACGACCATTCTGTAAAGATGTATGATTTGCGGACAGGGACGAGTATCATGAGTGTAGACCATGGTCAACCAGTAGAAAGGGTTCTCATGTTTCCTGCTGGAGGAGTCTTCTTATCTGCAGGTATGAAGAATGTAGGGACATCATGTCATAGCATTCGTACAAAAGAAAAGAGAGATTTTAGACTGTCAAAATCATGGTTAGTAATAATAAATCATTGTTACTTCAGGGAGCAAGAAAATGCAGTAGTGCATTAATATATAAACAAACTCTATCAAAGTAATTTTTACTTATGTCAAAGTAAGTGTACAAATTGAAGCAATTTTGCCGTAGAAATACTATTCTTTGTTAAATAGGGCCCACTGCTTTTTAAAATATTTATTGTTGCTGTTATTATATCACGTAGCACATTTAAACAATGTCTCCATGGATTTTCTAGATGAAATGAGTTTTCTAGAGTGACTGTTTTGAGAAATTTATGGTGTACCAACCTGCACCATTACCCTCTTATGATTAAAACATAAATCCTTTGGTCATATTTTAACCTGTTGACTACTGAATTATCTAATTCCCATAGACTTAACACAGGGACCACCAGGTTTCAGTAAGCAATGGGTTAAGAGTCTGCCTGAGACACAAATCTAATAAAAACGTGCCTGGGTTAAAAGTATTTGTATGATATTTTGATCCTCATCTGCTTTTCAGGTGGAAACTATGTGAAGGTATGGGATGCCCTCGCTGGGGGTCGTCTCCTAGCAACAGTCAGCAATCATCACAAGACCATAACAGCTATGTGCTTCAACGGAAATAACTCCAGACTTCTTACGGCATCTTTAGACAGGTTTGTTCATCTATCAACCTCTCTTGCCTGTTGGTACTGGACAAAAGAATTTGAATTTAACTTGAGTGTTGGTATTGCGACTTTAAGGTTGAATGGTACTTGTACTTGAATCCACTCATGATTGGTATTGCGACTTTAAGGTTGAATGGTACTTGTACTTGAATCCACTCTCTCATGATCAAAGAAAGCTTCTGTGATCCTAAATCAGAGTGTTTCTCTGTTTGATCTAAGTAAGTCATTTTAGAGCATTCCCTGTAATGTCTGCCTCTGGAAGGCAATTCTGAAGTGATTTTAGTTGACCTTGCTTCACTGGGATTTACAAAATTCAATTCAATGTCAATTACCCCCTGAATATTTAGAAATATAAGTAAGTGGTGTCTGGCTAATGGAGATAGTAAGCAAATATTAATCCACTATGAGGGTAATGGTACAAACTATCATCGCCGAGGTGATCTCGGAGCTACTATCATGATGGTAGCCCCGAGATCACAGAGGCAATGATAGTTTGTATACATTGCACGAGTAAAGAAGGTCAATATTTGTTTTATATCCCACATCGGCAAAAATTAGGGTACAAAAGTCCTATCGAAGGGAGATAGTACTTATCTATCATTGATCATGTGACCTCGTTTAGACCAATCAGATTGCAAGATTCTTAGTATGCGGGATATAATAAAGAATATATTATAGGGGAGAAATGATGAAACAAAGTTGAGGAAATCTAGCTAATCGCTGACATGATTTTCCAGGGCAGTATGTTGTTGCAAAATTAAATCAGGAATGAGCCACAATGGCCCAAATTCACAAAGGGGGTTTGTTGACAAACCTAGGTTTAAGCGCGTCAAGACGCGAAACCTAGGTTTGTCGACAAACCTCCTTTGTGAATTCGGGCCTATATGTTTTGATTGAAACATATATATACAATCTTAAAATGAATTGATTTTAAAATTCTTGTTTACAGACATGTGAAGGTGTATGATGTGAGCACATATCAACTGGTCGCTAGCATGGATTACCCTGCACCCATTCTCTCTCTTGGAATCTCAGTAAGTTTCTCTACCTATGTAATGATGTAATATAATTACATTAACCATATTTAATGGCCATATGGCATATTTAATATGTTTAACATCAGTTCATCCATATCAACAAGGCATCCGATAATCAGTTGATAAAGTTGAACAAGCTGGGTAGTGGACTAAGTGCCATTGGACCAAATCCGCCCCCCCCCCCTTTCACCCTCGTTTTATCTTCAGATACTTAAAATGAAAGGTCCAAGAATAAAAGCATTGGATGCCAAATGTGTATAACCTGATTTACAATATTTATACCTTTCAATTCTCCTTCAACCGTGCAGTTTTTGATAAATCAAATTTTAGTTTTGATCAGAGATATCGCATGTTAACCCATTACCTATGTGAACCTGCTAATTCAGTGTTTAAGCCTATCGGAAATAGAGAATTCAGTAGCTAACTGGTTAAATCCATTCAATTGTGTGAAGAGTCGTCAGTAGAATTTTAAGTCTCGATAGGACTTACTGTCTTGAGCCATGTACATGTTAACAAATCTTGCATTTATCAATTGTTAAATGCAAGTCATTCTGTGAAAGCTGGTTTGCACCATTTCATTTGAACAGGCCTATTGTAGGCTTCTATACAGAATGGTAAACCACAAGTTTTTATCTCTCTCCCTCTCTCCCTCTTTCTCTCTCTCTCATCGTAATATCAGCCTGATGATAAGACAGTGGTGGTTGGTGCAACATCAGGACTCTTATCCATCAAACATCCCAAAGCAGCTGATGAGCTAGAGACATCCAAGCCTCATAGACAGCGCAGTGCAGGAGCTAACAGTAGATACTACGTCCATGGAAAGGTCTTCACACCAAAGGAGGTGAGATACTAAGCTCATTGGGGGTGATACGATGATGATGATGATGATGATTCACAGCATTTAAAAAGGCGCAATATACTCCATATGATATGCTCATGTCCAAACATAGAGAGGATCTTGATGAGGGAGTAGAACAATCGATACTTTGTTGACAATCGCTCCATGGGCAGCTTCTGACAATGAAAATTGTAAACTTTAACTATTGATTCAACACTGCACCCAAATGTTAATCCAACTCTGTAATATCCTTACCCTATATGAAAATAATCACAATTCAATTTCATACTCTACCTAAAAACAAATCCTGGAGCAAGTATTGAATCTAAGGACTAAATTGATTGTGTAGATGTAACACTTTTGTGGTTATTACATTACATAATAATATTGGGTTCTCGTATAGCGATCATATCTTTCAGACTTGACACTCCTGATTATTACCATGGCTGCCATTACGGCACTCTAGCATTTCAAGGAATTAATTCCTACCAGGTACCCATTTACATCAACTGGGTTGAGTGTGGCAAATGTAGATCAATGTCTTGCCAAAGGACATTAGTGCCGCGTCGGGACTCAAACCACAAACCTTGTGATCCACAGTCCGGTGACGTATCCACTCAACCACGACACCTCTACGTGAAATGTATTTTTTGTTAATCCAACTCATCTTCATTTCTTTCTATCCAGGATGACATGGTTGTAACCCATATCAACAAAGATCATCTCGAGAAGTATGATAGGATGCTGAAAAAGTTTGAACATTCCAAGGCCTTAGATGCAGCCCTACATGTGAGGATTTATATTAAACTACAGATGTACAACATTTTACCAAAAATCAATTAATTGGCTTTACCTCCTCAAATTTGCACCAGCTGTATTTTTCCTTTATTCTTTCATTATTCAGAAATATGTGATGTATACCAACTGAATCAGTATGAATGATGCAACAAATATATTTATGGTATTTGAATAAGCGAGTTAGTAATTAGGATTTGCGCATGGGCAGATCAAGGTCATTCGGACCCAAATTGTAAAACCATTGAGACGAATACTCGGATCGTGCTCATAAAAGTTATGTAATCAGTATTCATTTATGCACCAACAGTACATTTATCTGGTACACAGGTGGAAGTATTCTTCTCAAGAGGCAAACAAAAGGTATTCATGAAGCACCTCCATCACCTCGGCAGTGATCATTCTAAAATGCACACGTGGGAAGTATCCATCGTGTAAAAGATCTGTGGATATTTTGGGGTAAAGCAGTCCAGAGCTATTTACGAACTCGCTTATTAAGTACTGAGTTCTCATTTTGTAATGTTTATTTGAGCAATAGGGGAATATTGATTCAAAGTGAATGACTCGAAGTCTCTTAAATTCTTTACGTATTATCGCTTATCTTTGGGCTGACAATAGTGAGGGATGTAAGCATAAGAAAGGATAAATCAAACTGATAATTCTTGGATATAATGAATCTCCACTCATTTTCTCCTCTGCCTCTAGCCAAACGTAAGATTGAGAACGCCTCACGTGACGTTCAGCTTGCTTCAAGAGTTGATCAGACGTGGTGTGGTGAAGAGTGCTCTCTCTGGCAGGGATGATCGTTGGCTCTGCATCATCTTAACCTTCTTGAAGAAGCATATATCAGACACAAACTTCACTCCTATTGCAGTGGATATCTCCAACATTATCTTAGGTATGGCTAGTATATAATGTGATGAAAATAGTAACAGAGTTCTGGATTGTGAACTTGTACCCAATCACAACTTGAGGTCATTTATTAGATCCTGCATAGTTGATATAATTGAAGAGCTTAATTCCCGAAGGAGCTAAATCCACTTTTAATGAAAATTTGGTTAATGATATCAGAACATTTGTTCACTGAAGAGTGAACAACCCGTCTTTCAACAAAATGATTTACCTAAATTTTGGGAGCAATTATGACAAAATGCACCTTCTAATATCACTTTTCCATAGACGCCTGTACAAAGTCTGGTAAACAATTTCTTTTTTCTCTGAAGTTACAGAAATGGATTTAGCTCCTTTTGAAATTAAACTCTTGATATGTTGAATAGATTGACAAGACATGTGATCAGTAGCTGGGGGGGGGGGGGGGGATACAGGGATTATTAACTACATCTTGGTATTAAATCATGAAGAACTCTTCACTCATTTTGCACTGCTCTAGGGCAGCTATACTAAAACCATAATAGTAGTTTGTAGGTACTTATAGCATGGTGTTGGATGGATTGGAGCTCATAGTAAATGTAGGTGTTATTACTATTGTTGCGTATTGCAGATATCTATGGTCCTGTGATGGGTGAGAGTGAGGATGTTTTGAAGCGGTTCCAGGCCTTACAGGTTGGTCTCCAGCAGGAGCTTCGTTACCATACCACTCTAGAGGAGATCCGAGGGATGCTGGATACCATCCTAGCTGCATCACATACCATTACCAAGGATACCATCAACATCATCTCAGATGATACAGAGATAAGAAGTGATGACAGGATAGACTCTAATGGTTTTGAGGTGGGGGCAACATGACAGTGTTGAAGACATTTCACCTCACTATTCAATTGGGACTCTAGATGAACATTAAACCTCATGTGAAAGCCTCATCGAATTGTCTATTTCTAAAATTCTGAATGACTTGATGATGGTGAAGAAGATCTTGAAAGAGTTTTCAAGAGGACGGACGGAATGGGACTAGCAGACCTCTCTTCTGTATGCATTTCCAACCTTATGATCTGTTAGAATCTACATTTTATGATATGGAAATATCCAATCTGCTTCACGAGTTTCAGTAAGGCCTTCATACTTTGAAATTGATTTTTTTTTTTTTTTCATTAAAAAAAATTGTGCCAACTCCTTATATGTAGGGCATAGACTACATGATGGACTAGAAGGGCCAAAGAACAGGTTCAATGATGATTATTCTTTTCCAGATACATTTGTTTCAAGTGTTCCTGCTCATCTGTTAACTATACACTGTATTGAGCAAGGAACTTTGGGCTCAAAGGAGTTACAAAAATATGAAAAGGATTCTTTCTTATTGTTTGTGTTCCTTAAAATGGATGGGAAGAAAATGCAGATCAAGGACATTTTTTTTTTTTTTTTTTTTCTTTTACATATTTTTAAATCATGAAATTAGAAGAATTGAAATATGTTGGTCTGAGGGGAAATTGAGTCTGATTATATTATTAGATTTAAGAGGCATCCTCACTTATAAAATATCCTTGAGAATCACCGCCTTGCGTTGAAGCCCTTACCCTTTACTTGCACCAAAGATAGCATGAAAACCTATCAAACACAAGATTTATCTGTGATGTTCATGATGATAATCATAATAAATAATATTAATTATACTACTGCGACTACTACCACTACTAATGATAATGATAATGACAAAAAAAGTAATTATAGTAATAAGAAAAATGATAATTATAATTATATTATTGTTATTATTATAATTATTGTTGTTATTATTATTATCATTATCATCGCTAATTTTAAATATATTATTACTACTATCATCATTGTTCTATCATTTTTGTAAATTTGATTGGACACAAGAGAAGATGTAGGTGATATGAAGAAGAGAGACGTAGTGTATAAAGGGAGAGAGAAGATGTAGGTGATATGAAGAAGAGAGACGTAGTGTATAAAGGGGAAGAGAGAAGATGTAGGTGACATGAAGAAGAGGGGCGTAGTGTATAAAGAGAAAGAGAAGATGTAGGTGATATGAAGAAGAGGGACGTAGTGTATAAAGAGAAAGAGAAGATGTAGGTGATATGAAGAAGAGAGACGTAGTGTATAAAGGGGAAAGAGAAGATGTAGGTGATATGAAGAAGAGGGGCGTAGTGTATAAAGGGGAAAGAGAAGATGTAGGTGATATGAAGAAGAGAGACGTAGTGTATAAAGAGAAAGAGAAGATGTAGGTGATATGAAGAAGAGAGACGTAGTGTATAAAGAGAAAGAGAAGATGTAGGTGATATGAAGAAGAGAGACGTAGTGTATAAAGAGAAAGAGAAGATGTAGGTGATATGAAGAAGAGAGACGTAGTGTATAAAGGGGAAAGAGAAGATGTAGGTGATATGAAGAAGAGAGACGTAGTGTATAAAGGGAAAGAGAAGATGTAGATGATATGAAGAAGAGGGGCGTAGTGTATAAAGGGAAAGAGAAGATGTAGGTGATATGAAGAAGAGAGACGTAGTGTATAAAGAGAAAGAGAAGATGTAGGTGACATGAAGAAGAGGGGCGTAGTGTATAAAGGGGAAAGAGAAGATGTAGGTGATATGAAGAGAGACATAGTGTATAAAGGGGAAAGAGAAGATGTAGGTGATATGAAGAAGAGAGACATAGTGTATAAAGAGAAAGAGAAGATGTAGGTGATATGAAGAAGAGGGGCGTAGTGTATACAGAGAAAGAGAAGATGTAGGTGATATGAAGAAGAGGGGCGTAGTGTATAAAGGGGAAAGAGAAGATGTAGGTGATATGAAGAAGAGGGGCGTAGTGTATAAAGGGGAAAGAGAAGATGTAGGTGATATGAAGAAGAGGAACCTAGTGTATAAAGGGGAAAGAGAAGATGTAGATGATATGAAGAAGAGAGGCGTAGTGTATAAAGGGAAAGAGAAGATAAGCAGGAATGTCGCTAGACCTTTTCAGTGGGGGGGGGGGGGGGGGGTGTAGAGGCCACCGATTACCGACAAAACTATAGCCACCAATCACCTACAAATATAAATCCTCAATCCTCAATATCATAATTTTTATTTTTTAGATCTGATGTGTAGGTAATGGAAATTCAGGAATGATAACTTTTCTGAGGAATGATAACTTATCAATCCTCGATCACCAGTCCCTCTGATATGACTCAATTAGCTGTAGATCACTTGGTTACTACTCACCAGCATTTGTAATTCTGTAAATGTGTCATGAACAGCATGAGTGTTTATTTATTTATTTCATTTACATAGTACAAATATCGAAATGATATGGTTCTATCATGAATTGTTTTCATTGCTGATTAAGTAACATAATGGATAGATGAATTGTTCTGTAAGAGATAGTTCATAGTTTGCTCACATGCATGCTTTCGTAACAGTAAAATTAATCAGTTGTATAACTAAATCGTGGACGTTTTTGTAGTGCTTCTTGTACGTTGATTGTCATTAAGAATAAAATAAAATATGCATTTAAATTGTGGTTTCAGAAACATTTAAGTACTAAATTGTAAGCTTTGTAGAAGCCTCAAGCTTCTCGTTGTGATTACCCCCAACCGTTGAAAGTTTCTGAATTAAGTAATGCGAAATTTCAAAAGTTTAATTTCCTCTCTAAAAACGCTAGATACCCAGTAATGTTGTAAAGGTAGTTTGGTACGTATCAACGTGTTCAGGGATCGAACCTCCCCGCACAATTTCTAGGTGGACTACCTTGGCAATATATAGTTTCAAAATGGCCGCCGTGTATAACTACTGTTGAACATTTTGGAGATTTCTTTTTAACAACGCATCATTTCACCATGTATGTTGGGGGCGTCGCTAAAGGGGTGTGGAGGTGCGACACCCCCTCCCCACCTGTCAGGATCTTGTCGGTAAAATTGCGCTGCCGTCGGGAAAAATGAGAGGGAAAGGGAAACAAGAAAAAAGGTACAGGAAAGAAAGGAAAGAAAGAAAAAGAAAGGAGAGAAGGAAAAGAAAGAAAGAAAAGAAAGGAAAAAAAGAAAAAAGAGAAGGAGGAAGAGAAAAAAGAAAAAGAGGAAGGACAGGAAGAAAAAGAAAAAAAAGAAAGAAAGGGAGAAAGGAAATCACGAAAAAGAGAAAGGGAAACAAAATAATTGGGGGATGAAAATAGAGAGAGAGAAGGGGTAAGAGCCTGAAAGAGGAGGGTGGGATTAAAAGAGAGAGGGGGGGGGGTTGTTGGGTGGAGTCGTCTCATCGAGGAGCAAGAAAGATACGCATAGATAGGTTGCTGTGTCGGTATTCGTGCTCGATCCTCGTGTACTATATCAATGCAGATGTTTGAAGTCGGTGAGATTTATAATGTCGGTCGGCCGGCAATTTTTTTTTCTCCATACGAACTGGGCTTGTTATCCGCTGTTTCATCTTCCTAAAATTATCAGCATAAGAAATCAATGGTTTAAAATTCTTCGGGGGAAACCGAATTCAGACAAGGGTTAAGAGTCGAGAACGTACAACGAATCGTCTTCTTTATCTAATAATTTAGGAAAACGTCAAAACTTCCGTGCTTCGCGCGGGAGGTGAGAAACTGCATTCAGACAAGGATTAAGAGACGAAAACGGTACAACTAATCGTCTTATTTTTCTTTAATTTAATGAAACTTCAAAGCTTCTGCGCTTCGCGTTGGAGTGGGAAAAACTGACTTTAGACAAAGATTAAGAGTTGTGAATAGTTCAACGAATCATCTGTTTTCTGTAATAATTGTCGGTAAATGGTGGCTAGTTTTTCGGTGATTTGGCCCCCTACACCACCCCCCCCCACCCACTGAAAAAGGTCTAGCGACGTCCCTGCATGTATGAGGTTTCATGAAAGAAAATTAAATTCCCTATAATTTATACCACATATTATAGATTCGAGAGTCATTGCATGACAATTTGAGCCAAAACTGTTATTTTTTACCATTTTACCCCAAAACATGAATTCCGCTAAAATACCTATTTCTCCATATTTTATATAATTTGTATGACTACTAACTTGGAACATTTTGAAAAATTGTCCAGGAACATTGTCAATATCATATTCAAATTCAAAGTTCATTGCTTTTCTAACAAAAAAGTTATAGCGCTTTAAAGTTGACACTTCATATGAGCCAAAAAAAAAGCAATTTTGTTTGCTAAGGGCTGTCTTTTCCTTATCAATGGTAGTATAGTGACGTGAAAAATAGAATATATCGCGAGTAGATGCTGTCGCCAAGCAGACGACTACTTTAATAGGAAGCGATGTCAGATGATGCAGTTTCATTATATGTTAATGATATATATATATTAGTTCCCGTTGTATGGTAATAATATGCCTATCAACCAAAATAATGTGTTTCCAGAAACCAAATTAGCCTATACATCGGTCGAATAGTACATAAAAACAAATCCTGAATTTAAGTGACGGACATGATTTGCAGTCAGAAGCATGTTCAAAGTGCATGGTGTGGTTCAGAACTTTACCCTACCCCTCCCTCCTTTTATATGCCCCCCCCCCCGGGTCTCATTTAAAATCAAGAGAAGATTTAGAGATGGGGGCATGTTGTTGTATAGGACATGATGTGTGTTCAGAAATGATGCAGGCTATCGGACAAGATAGTGATACATAAAATGAGTTCTGGATCCAGGTGATAGTCATGATTTTCAGTCTGAAGCATGAAGATAATGGAGGTAGGGTTAATACTTGAGCCCCCTCCCCCGTCTCCTAGAACAAAAAATAAGAGCAATTTGTGCAAAGCAATATTCATAAAGTACATTGCAATCAAACAAATTGGTCCAGTATTTTACAATATTTCACAATACATTAAAAATCTAATGGTAAAAATTGCATGGAAAATGTTTTCAATGTCTTTCTACAACCCCCCCCCCCACCATCCCCCCTACCCCCCCCCCCCCTCCCACCCTCCCCCCCCCCCCCCACCCCCCCCAGCCTCCCCCCCCCCCCCCACCCCCCCCCCCCCCCCCCCCCCCCCCCCCCCCCCCCCCCCCCCCCCCCCCCCCTCGCCTCAAAATGTTGACCCCAATTATTTAGTTTGTATAATAGATTGATTGACCAGCTGAGTGTAAGATAATAATAGGCATGGATTCAAATCAGTGACTGGTATCATCCTCTAAAAATAGAGAATTGAAGGTTGGAATCAGAACTTGCACCCGCATCCCCGCACATAAAATTATTGATATTATTATTAATGCAATGGATGAAACAAAGACAAACAAGGAGAGCGGCCGGGGAGCCTATATAGGGACATAATTAACTGATTGCTATTCTCACCAAATGATTTTTATTTTTTAAACAAAAAATACATAATGAATTGCCTGACATTCAGCTTATTCATAGTTCCCAATGACAAAGACGACGACTAGGCGTACTAGGCCTGGATAAGACTATTTGTTATTTCACATCCCCATGGCATTGGTTAATACAGCAGCCTTATTGATGATACGAATAGACGCATAATTATTGTCTCACTATATATACAAGTGTAACTAATTGAGAGTAGTACGATCTGATACAGTGCGA